TTGAGTACATAAAAATATAATGTTTTTCTGAAATGTCTTTCTTAAATAGATAAATAGTTTTTACTATAAATGATAATGTATCAAAGTTCTTTGAAATGAATAAATTGAAAAATTGAAATTAAAGCCTGGGGGTGCTATCCACCCCTCCAACTACAAATTAACGCTTCACTTGGGTAGATTTAGAATAAAAAAAAATATTTTCATAGTTTTATTATGGAAGTTAACAAAGTTTACTTTGGTAGCGTTCTTGTAAGTTCAACTAATTTTCGTATCTAAATAATTTATGAGCAATAGCTATTTTATGTAGCACGTAATTCATCGGGGAACTACTATTATACTATTTCAAGATCACTTTATATTCTGTCTTCTGTTACTATTTCAGTATTTTAATATTCTTGGAACTTTATGTCACAGTGGACCACCTTCAGTTCGCGTAGCAACTGCGCAACTTTTCTGCGTCAATCATATGATGGAGGACCAAAAATTTATAATCTTAGAAAGCAAGTCAATGAGACAGAGACATATGTCGTTACTTCCGGCTGCATCTGCAGTTATTAACGCCCATAAATCCGCATCGGGCCCGCATTATAGGTTATGGCCTATTCTTCATATTCAATATAATTCAATATAATAAGGAAGGCCTGTGTCGTAATGGGTCAATTAATAGGTTGGTGCGTAATTATTAAAAGTAAATGAAATCTTCAACGAATTTATTAGAGTTTACTTTCCCAGTGATTTACATCACGGTTTCGATGTGTTCGCCATCTCTGTAAGATACCGGGTTAGATTTCTCATTGGTTTAACGTATACACGTAGAAAATAAAAGGTCTGATTGATTGTAGTAACTCCATTGTTTTAAGTTTCTATAATACAAAGGCTATACTTATTTTAAGATCTGAGCAATGTATGAGATATTTTCTAATATTCAATTTTTTTTAGCATTTCGTTCTATTTAAAAGTATCAGGTGTTAATAATTAAAGGGTTAGCAAACGCCAATAAAAATACACACAAAAAAAACTTTCATTTTTATTTTCAAAACAATCTGTACTTAAGAAGTACAATAAAATTTTACCTAGCGCCGTTTTATTAACAATGAAAAATTACAAGGTTTCTATTATATATTAGTTTACATTCGTTATTTCTCTTCAGCCCAACATTTTTTTAGTATAAATATTAATTAACTAAAGAAATCACCTAACAAATAACATAAGTAAACGTATATGTGTTGTATTCTTGCGTTTATCTCTTGACGGGTATGAATTTAGCGATTACTAATTGTGTGTTCAATAAGAAACCTCATTATTATACACATAAGGATCAAACACCATGGTTAGTGTAATAACCATACAATGTGTGAAACCGATATGCTACGCGCCACAACACAACACATAAATATTTTTCCAAATTAATCTAGATAAAACAAAATCCATCAAGATAAAAAAAGAACTATCACAGATACACCATTTAATACTAAGCCATTTATTTTACACTAGTTAATATCCAAGGCTTCGGACGCCTGTTTAAAGGAAAATAACTTTATTTTGCGAGAAATTTCTTCACTTTTTATGTGCAAAAATAATACATTATAAAAAGGTGACTTGAAAAAATTTACACAAATAGTAGTAGTACTCTAATAAAGAATATGAAATGATTGTTATTCGTAGTCTATAGAAGTTCTATAAAATTGAAAAGAAATAAGAAAAGTATTTTCATTTTCTTTTTGAAAAATGACCGCAATGCTAAGTTTTTAAAGTTCCAAGTCCAGTTTTCATACAAAGCAAGATTTTAGAACGAAACGGGTGAAGTTTATTCAAATGGAAACAAATTCTGGGCAAAAAACATCTGCATAGCACCAAGCCAGTCATCACTGAAACGATAAAACCGAGAAAAGAATAAAATCGAGCGAATGCATTTGAAATTTGCCTTTTTTGAAAGTCATAATTTTAAAATTTACGTCGGAGCGACCTTTAATTTCATTTGGCTTTTTTGTCAATTAGTCAGAATCTTTATTATACCAATTTACAAGTAGGTACCTAAAAAGGAAGTAAAAAGAGTTGAAATACATATGCTAACCAGAATAACTGATTATAGCAGAAACTAATCTTCGGCTTTCTTGATTAAACAGCCGAAAATGGGGTAAACATTAGCTTTCTTATTATAAAATGATAAATTACTTTAGTACTAGACTTAAACATCTCAATTTTACTTTTCTCTTCTGTCATTGTTTGTTTTACTTTAGGTGGTAATACTTTTAAACCATGTAATTACTTTAGTTATTCTCGTAGAATACGTCACCGCTTGACGGGGGCTCTTTTGTTTGCACTGCTGATAATTTCTCTTTTCTTCATATGTATGTAATACACACAATATACTATAGTATGACATTTTTAGTTAGTTTTTTACTATATTTTAGCACTGAAGTGGATTCTTACATCCCTGTCTGTACACAATTGACGAGACATCGATCGATCTAAGTACTACCAAAATATAGGATGGATATGTATTCAATATTCATTCCTTATAGTTTCAAGATATCGGTCAAGTTAAACCAAGTATCCATAAAACACATTGTTACAGTAGCAGATAACAGTAAAATACATAAAATATTTGTCGTAAGTCTACTTTTTGCATTTCGACATCTTTGCATCGTGATTTATTGAAGTTGAGTTTTGGAAAATCCCAAAGTGCATTACCTTAAATGCTCTGAGCGTCTTGCAAGGTTTATTCAATTGGCTAGTGTATAGTCACAGAAGTTACGAGTGTATTAGATTGGTAGTGTATAAAATGGCTTGGTGCCAGAAGCGTTTATGTAGAAATTTTGTGTACATCGTTTCATTCACCTTTTCAGTCAAGGAAAACTTATTTTTATACAATACATTACTAACTGTATGACATCCAGTATACTTGCAACGATCTTTTTTGTCTTGCTTTTTCTTTTTGTTTTTTATTTTCTGCATTTTGAAACACTCATTATGATTTTTATTAATGATATTTTATAAATGAAATGATATAAGCATTCATCTCAATAATCTTATGGCTTAGCATTAACATCTTACTAATCAAAGAAATTTTAATGACTTCAATACACGTGGGTACTTTTTCACCTACAGTTACATTCTAGAGAATACTAATGCGCTTAAAAAATAGTTATGTTTAAAAAAACTCAATCACACAATTAAGGAGCCAATTTAGTATTTTCTTTGTAAAATAAATATAGCTTAATAGAAATTTAATAATACTAAGCATTTTTCACTACCCAACTTTTAAGTTCTACTTTGACATAGAAAATCCAATTATAGAGTTTTATAAGTAAAATCACTTTCTACCGGTAATTACCATGGAACATTTTTGTACAATCATGTACAAAAAGAGAAATAAGTTTCATCAAATATCAGCACAAGTGCAAAATTATGTGATGACCTACACTCATAAATTAGCATCCCATAAAAAGAGTGAGAATTCTACAACATACTTTAAACATATTTTGCTTCCAAAGAAACCATGCTTGTTTAAAAATCAGAATTCAAAATTCGGCCAATCATGTGACGCGACTCGTGCGCGTAGTGTTCCTTTTTTTATTATAGCGTCAATAGAAATACACCATCTATGAAAATGACGTCTTACTATTATGGATCGTGAGATATAGCTTTGTGACAGATGAACGGACAACGGAGTCAATAATAGGATTTCTATTTTTACACTTTTGGTATTGATAAAAACAGACGAACATAAAACGTGCTCCTTTTCAATTTTAAAGTCAGTAAAAAATAAAAATAGTGTACTTACTTGAATGGGTCTATTCCCGTCGCATGCATATTTGATAGCCAAAACATTTTATATTTTTCCATGGCAATTACCAGATATCATAAATATATAGAGTAAATTACAATGAATAATTTTATTCTTAAGTCAAAATTATATCGTCAATATAAAACAACAGTTTTTACATACAAGCAAATAAAAACAAAACATATCTATGGGAACCATTTTTTAATATTCTGTAACTATGGCCATCTTGACTCCATACCATAATAACCTTAACCAAGTAAATTAAGAGTCTCATAGAAAAAAAAAATCATAATGTTCACAAACAGAATTGGAAATAAAACATATATATACGAGTATATTAGTTCATCAAAGTGGCATGTCTTGTGGTTCTATTTTAATTTAATTTTACTCTATGTGGAAATATATTTACATTAGTAACACAGAATACAAATTGAATTTTCGTTTCCTTTATATGTTTATTTTCTAATTAAAACTTCTTCACTATTAAGCAGTGTACACATATCTCAGGTTATGATACACGATGAGCCTGAAATGTTTGTATACTACTCTATATATTTAATTTGAAGCCTGTTATTTACAAAACTACAACATTTTTACATTATCGAAACTTATTTTCCCCGCTACAGAGGTAAAAAATCTGTCTATTTGAGCCCCAATTTGAAGTTAAGTTTATTAGTATTATTTGATATCTTCCTTCGCTTAAATTTACAAATAATTGCGCACAGAGCAACATTGTGCCATCCAAATAATGCATATTCTAATAGGACACAATTGCCATTTTGTATTTAAACAAGTAAAGTTTCACATTGCACTAGTCTCTACTGAGTTAGAACGTTTGATAGGGCTTCTATATTTAATTTGATTTCAAAAGTATTCGAAAAACAGTTTTAAAATCTTCGCCAGGGTATAATGCAAAGTTGATACAATTGTATAATTTAGTCTAGGATCCAGTTACGACACATATACGTAGAAAGAGGTGTTATATATAAGAAGTGTCATATGTTGAAATACCGAAAAGTGTTATTTTACTCTGTAGAAGGGAATTATCATGAAGCAAGGGTTCATCGTTTTTTTTTTGTTTCAGAAATATATTGTCGATACATGTTCCACCGGACTCTGCTTTAAGAAATGGTACATATTGTTACATTTAAAATTATTTACAGTCTTCATGTTTTTTTCTCTTATAACTATAATTGTTTTATTTTAATATCTATAACTGTTTACTAGTTTCATTCAGTTGTTCTTCTTTATTAATTGGCTTAAGTAAATCTGTTCTATACCTGTTAAAAAAACAAGATTTATTCATGTTTATTTATAATAGTGAGTAGTTTCGTTGATTTACACTACAAAAGTCATTGTTAGGTATCTCGGAAGCTCTAAAGTTAAGTTAATTGTAGAAGGATACCTCCCGACTATTGTGGTTCTATTTTAGTAGCAGACTCTCAGTTGTAGAGGGCTATATACATAAAACCTATAGCTTTGAGGGCAAAGCTATAGATTTTAATGAAGCTATATATATATATTTTAATAGGTTTTATATTTAGGAAAAAGTAGTCTTAAGCATGCTGGGTATATTTTTTCGTTACGTTAGCTACTTAAAGTAGAAACTTAAGCAATTATAACATAGGAAAAGCGAAACATTGGTACTAAGAAGTCTTGGTAAAAAATCAATTTCCACTAGTTTCAATATATTATGTAAAGTATTTCTTTAAGCCTATATTGAAGCAAAATCTGTTGAATTAATATAGAAAGTATAACGTGAACTTACTTGGATCGTTTTTTTCTTCTAACTGTATTTACAGGGGCTGTTTCTACGCAGAGCACGATCAATCTACTACTGCATGAATATCTAAAACAAAAAATAAAAAGTGTTGCTACTTTCCTCGAATTTCTTTTAGACTTTAGGCTACGAAAGACAGATAAATTTTTGCAAAATAAATACACAGACATAATCAAAGTATATTTAAATATAGGTATTTTACAGTTCATCAATTCGTTTTATAGGCAATTATGGAACTCTATTTAGTATAATAAATAAATTGTATGTAATAAAACACGCTAGAAGTATAATTTTTAACAACATCGTTTTAAAAAACATAAATTAGACAAGATGGCGAATAAAATTAGGTAAATGTAAAAATGTCAAATTATTATTAATAGGTTATCGTTTTTCATGTCATAAAACGAACACGATTGAAAGTGTTTCACTGACTTCTACTATTTAAAAAAAAATGTATTCAAAGCAGAAATATTCTTTAGTGGATTACAAATTAATCCACTGTACTTCCTCTTTTTGAATTCCTCAATCATTTAGAAAGATAATAGACGTTCGACAAACGTCTATTCTATTTAATTGTATTCAAAGTCGAGATTTTTTCCATTCAAATTGAATTATTTTGTGCTGTGAAGTAGAATGGAACCAGGAAACTACAAAACAAATTTAATATAGAGTAACAAATATAAATTAGTATACTGTAGACGTCAGATATTAAAAATGGCTGGAGCACTTTAAGTCCTCTTATTTGTTATATAAGGTGAACGCAAATGAATCCAAATGGAATACGCCAAAAGACGCGAAAGAAAGGAATTTTAGAATTTCCTTTTCCATTCCTTCAACCAGTTCGAGCTGAATCGTTAGAATTCTAATGTCACCTTTTAAATTCAGTTGCAAAGTGTACTATGCGTGTCAAATAAGAATAAGATTGGGTTAGCTACCGACTTCGCAGATTATCTTGGCTCTTTTGAACTGACATTCATAAACAGCATATTTGATTAGTCAAAATTTCAAATTACGAAAGGTGAATAATAAAAAGAAATGATGTTGAATATCAAAGACTAAACGTTTGCCTGCGGATACCTAGGATGAAATAAACGGTGGTACGGCACACCGTTACAAGTTTCCTAAACGTGTCGCCATTTTATGGCATCAGGTTCTACTAAAAATGAAAGTATACCGTAATGCTTTACATATAGTACGATAAAATACTGATTTGAAAAAAATAAATATTTTTATTCTTATTTTACACACCTAATATCCTGAAGTTGAAACGAAATGCGAAACAAGATGGCCGTTTGACAATTATAATCGCCATTTTCGGCTCGCGTTGATCTATTATTAGCTTAATCATACAATATAAAAATACATACGTTTCCTGATCCAACAATTTATTGGAGTGCAGCGATGATGCCAGTCCAAACTTCTCTGGACTTCCGCTATGCCACGCGTCGCAGTACGCGTCCATAGCCGATTCACCGTTCGGATTGGCTCCGTGCCATACGGCTTTAGTTGGCCTGGGGAAGGGTTAGCCATTTTAATTTTTCCAAAGTTCTATATTCAAAAGCTTCGTTTTTAAATAAACTTTTTTGAAACTCCAATCAAAGAATATATAATCTTAATAATTGGAATGAAAATTGTTTAAGTAATAATTATTTTAATGAAATCATTATTTGCGTCGCTTTGTCAAAATTTAATACATTGCGACAAATTGAAAAAAGTTACATTGCTCTACAACGATAGTTAAATAACTGACAGTTAATGTATTTTATTTTAAAAATATTTCGTAAAGGTATATTAATAGTACACACTTACCACGCTGGATCCATGAGTACATTTTGGCCGCTAAAACTAAAGATTCTTGGGGCATGAGCGAACAATGCTCCAGAGCCATCGAACATTTCTGCCCACGAGTTAAAAAGAACGTCACCCCTCGTGTTCACCACTGGCGTGTCGCGGTTCTTCCAATTGACAATGGAGTCCATCGATTGAACGCTATTGACAAAGGAATAGAGTGTAAAATAATGTTTAAAAATTACACATAAGTCAGAGTTTTTACGTTCATGTTATAATAGTTAGGTAATCAAAACTTTTTTAAAAGCAGAACCGACTTTAAACATTAAAAAAAAAAATATGAAGAATCCTTTTCTTAAAAGCGAATTATTGAGAAAATGCCATTGATACCTGGCGGAGGTTTTCTGTGAGTTATTAATTAAATAATATAGGTATAATAATGAGATTTTACTTATTATAAAAAGTTTTATTTCATGCTTTTTAGTTATATTGATATTCTTTTTATATAATAGGTAACACTAATAATATCAAATATTTATTATTTTTTAATATGTTAAATAAATTAAAATTTTAGCAAAGTGAAAGATTTTGTTTGTTTGTTTGAAATATTTTTTTCCCAATTTATTCATATTTTAAAGAGCAAAGATTTGTTTGCTTATTTGTTTGCATTGCATAGACCCCAAAACCATTGGACCGAATTTCAAAGTCTTTCATCTACGGGAAGTTACATAATACTCGGCGAACATAGACAAAATCGCGGTGAAATAGCCAGTTTGATAGAAATTGGTTCACAATTCAAGAAGAAATCGATGAACATATATACCCTATATACTTAACTCATTGATACCTACTGTCTATGACTTTAATAAAAAATATACTTCAAAGAGTATAGAATATACCAGATTTTCTAAAAATCTTCTGTTTTATAGCTGAAATGAGTCATGCCATAACATATCATCTTAAAATTTAGGTGATATCTGTTGGAAAGCGTATTTTGTTTTGTTACAAAAGGAAAATTACTTATTCGATTTGGATAAAATTTAAATAGGATTATCTCGATCGAATTTTAAAAATGGACTATATAATTGGCTACCCATATGTATTTCTTAAAATTAGCCGAAATAATATCAAACTTTCGAGTAATCATGTTTTATAATATAATATTTTCTTGAGATTTGATCTAATATTTTCTGGGTAAACCATCAATTAACGGACAACAGGATACTTAATATTTCTTAGAAATTCAAATCATGTTTATTTCGACCTAAGTAGTAAGGACGCTACTTGAAACTGGAAAATAAAACATTTGAACTTAACAACAAACTGTAACAATAATTAAAAATAAACTAAATATAACAATGTATGAATATATTTTGTGAATGTTATAATTACATTACCAACCTTTGATTTTCAAGTATTTGTCTAAGATAAATAATAAATTCACATTTTCGCAATTTTAATGTAACCATCATCGTTCTCAATCTAAATTATAATGATAATTATAAGGGAAAGTTTTTTCCTAACCGCATATCGATATATCAGAAAGGCGTCTCAAATCGAATAACCAAATATCGATATGAAAACTGTTCGTGCGCGAATATAAAATCCTTGCAGTTTCTCCGAATCCAATTCTCGTAATCGATGGCGCAATGTCGTTTATCAAAAGTTACAAGGGTAAGTCCCAGGTAAGCATGAGGCTTCAGATAATCTACAGAGGCCACAAATCTTTCTGCGGGTGTGATATTAGCCAGAGTCCAATGTCAAGGAGAGCGTAAAAGTTTCTGTTATTAAACGGAGAGTTTTGTTATATCAGAACTGATAGTAAGTTTTCTATACTTTAAATAGATATATTTCTGATATTTTAAGGTAAAATTACAGTAGAATTTTAGTATTAAAGTATTTATTTTTGTAAATGATTTGATGCCATATATGTATTTTACAATATTTTTATATGTCCTATTTATTTTAAATTTTCAAAGCGTCATATTTTCCAAATTAGTATAATTTATTTTATTTTATTTGAAATTTACAAGTAAAAATGCTTCAGTTTTCCGGAAATATAACAGAAACCTATATTTTCACTCAGAAGACACAACACTTTTGTACAATTAATATCTATTATACTGTTTTTATTATGATTATACCCTTGCACACAAAAAATCATACACAACATTGTCAAGTGAAGGAACCAGAAAGATGGGCTTATCTTTATTAGAGATATTTACCAGTCAACCAAGACGTCGTGAGAGAGTAAGATGTCAGCGACTGACACAAAGTACAGTAATTGTTTGAATATATAATAACAAAATATTAGTCAGACAACAGAATAATATCATAGCCAAGGAAGTGTGCAAAATGCCAGATTTCGCATGTGACTGTTTTCCAAGAATATCTATTCTGCAATGCGATTCGAATTCGAATTAATTCAGGTGTCCGTATTTACTTCGAAACGACATCCGCTTAACCTTCAATTGGTATTAACGTTTCGTGGTATAAGTGAAGGAAGTTTCAACATGACATAGGGATATCTGAGATACATAAATTCAATCAATCTTACTTTGTACTATTATCCATAAAATGGAATCGATAGAATTTCTACATTATATGACGTGAATTGAATGACTTACTTTGAACGAATCATATCAATATAAATCGAAGTCATAATCGATGGTAATCAATTTCATCAATTTTAATGTGTATAAATACTCGCATGTGTGTATTAAATAATAAATAGCTTGTGTTATCAAGTAAAATAATTGTAACACTTAATATGTTTTGTAGATTTTCGATTTTTTTTTTATGAAAATATTTTATGGTCGGCCTATCATTTTATCATCGACAGACGACACGGAAAAACGTATGTGATTTAAATTCACACAAACAATCAATAGAAAAGTTCTATAAGCCATATACATTTTTTCCTATTGTAGTTGTAGCTCAGTAAAAAATTACACCAATTTGCCCGTCGGTTTGTAAAATCAGATTGTAACAAAATATCGAGCGTTACACTCCAACTTGGTCTCGTAAAAGGGTGAGATATTAAAATGGCACTTGTTTTGTAACAAGCAAATAATTCTATTGTAACCGTAACTTTATATTCATGTTTCAAACAAAATTTGTTACAACAAATGAATATAAATATTGTTTTTCGTTTTTAGAGAAAGTTATAGAGGCAGAAGTATATTAGTTAAATGTTTCCTTTACTTGTAAAAGTAATATAACTGTAATTTTACTTTTTAAGTATGTTTAAAATTATATTATTTAACAAAATATTGACTCGTTTGATTTAATAAAAATATTAGGGGTTAAAATATAAAATTGCCTATTTATTGTAATAGGTTCCTTGAATTGACATACATATAATCTTTTTTTCACATGGATTCTATGATGTTCTTTTTTTTAATTTTTTTAAATATTTGATTATCAACTTTCATTTGTTTTTGTTATTCAACTTAGACAAGAAAGATGGATATTGCAAAAATTCGAGTGATTTTTGAATACGAGTTCAGACGCGGAAATTATACGGCAGAAACAGCACGCAATATCAATGTTGCGTTTGGATAGGGGTCTACTAATGAACAAACTGTGCGATTTTGGTATAAACGCTTTCGTGATGGAAACTTCGACTTGAAGAACGAGCCACGAGGAAGGCCGCCCACACAGGTGAATAACGATGAATTAAGAGAGATGTTGGAAGCTGATCCTATTCAAACTACCCAGGAATTAGCGGCATGGTTTCACGTTACCCACAATATTGGCTCATTTGCGTCAAATCAATAAAACAAAAAATACGAAAAATGGGTGCCTTATGATTTGACTGATCTGCAGAAAAAAAAGCGTGTTGAAACTTGTGTTGCCTTGTAGAATCCGTACACAAATAAAGGAATATTGGATCGAATTGTGACAGGGGCATAAATGACCTTCCTATTAGATGGTAGCAATGTATAGATAAAATTGTAACTATTTTTATTAAATAAATTTGTTAAAAATTAAAAAATAATCAATTTAGATTTTCAGTACAAATCGGCAATTTAATACTTCAACCCCTTTTATCAATAAGAAGATTTATCAAATCAGAAGGAAATTATTCAGAATTGTAACAAAATTCTGAATATTAATTGATTGGCAATCCAAATACGGTGGCTTTACATACGGATTATTACATAGGTAATCCGTAGCCAAGTTACTCGCACAAAAGCGGTGATGATTAAAAGTGTCTCTAAGGTCTTAGGTTCGATTTCCGTTCTATCTGAATGAAGAAAATTTAAATTTCAATACTATCTTGAGTCTGGGTGTAACGATAGCTTCGGGATTATGTGACGTTTAACGAACCCTAACATTCATAACCATTACGTATTTCAAAAGTTATGGTGGAATAAAGCAACTCACATACAAACATACAAATTAAACCTCAATTCAATAGACTCGTTTTTTTGGACAGTCGTGAAATGAGCTCAAGCTAGTTTCTTAAAGAACATTGAATTTTATTACCTACATACGATGATACAATTTTATATATACCTGGTAGATATGAAAGCACGAAAGTTTCCATCCATGTTAGCCCTTTGAGCTTGCCTCCGGCATTCATAGTTAGTACTGCTCATCCCATGCAAATCGCCAGTGTGGGGTTCATTAAGGGCAGCTAACCTAAGCTATGTGATTATAAATATTAAATAAAGTTACTTGTATCGTATAATAACCAACGTATATAAAAAATGAGCATATTAGACCTAGAATTGTCAACCTTGAAACTTGTCGAATTCTATTTCAGTAGGTCATACTTGAGTAGCTTGGTGACGTGGTAGATAATCGACGTGGCCCGCGATCGTTGTTGTTGTAGTTAACCAACTTTCGCAAGGATCGGTCACGGGATAAGTAGTCAAAAGAAAATATTATACCGAGCTGCTTCGAAAGCCGTTTGTTCCGGCTGCATTTGCAGTCATTAATACCCTCTGATTGGGCCAACGTGGAGGGTCATGGCCTATCGTCCTTAACCATCTGTAAGAAAGGTTTGAGCCCCTGCAGTGTGAACGTAAAATGGCTCATGATGAGGTCAAACTTATAAAATAGAAGCTATTATTGACTAGAACTGGGTTCTGAATAGATATTTTCACTAGTCAACTCTGATTTACTTGAAAATATAAACCCTCCAATCCGCATTGGGCCAGCGTGGAGGGTCATGGCCCATCCTCCTTAACCATCCATAAGGAAGGCCTGAGCCCCTGCAGTGGGGACGTAAAAGGGCTGATGATGATGATGATGATAAACCCAAAAGCAATTGCTGGGAACAATAAATATTACGTGTTTATAATAAACTCACCACTGGTCCTTCTACTGCTGCGTTTTTGTGATGAACTAAACTAGAAGTTTCTAGAATATTTTGTATAGGTATTCTAGTTGGATTGTTGTTTGGCGGAGCGTGTATAGCCAATAATGAGCCCATCTAAAACATAAAGAAATAGTCAATAGTGGTATTTTATTTCAATCTTCAAGTATAAATTTCGATTTCATTTTAAGTTTCGTTTAAATGTTTCCAAGTTTATAATCCTTCTCTTTTTAACCAACTTTAAGAAGTACCTGTGAAAAGTAAATGAACTGGGAACATTATTATATAATTCTCAGCGAGTAACTCTCTAAGTCGCATTGATATAAATGTAAAACCAAATACGGAATGTTTGAGTTTATTCAACGTCGAGTCCCTTGAGAAACACAGGACCTAAGTTACATTTAAATTACTCTGAAAAAGCTAAAAGGTTGTAATTCCCAGTAGAAGGCGTAACATTTTTCTTCAAATTTCTCTTTTAAATTACAGGTAAAATGATACATTTATCCTTGGGACTTGATTATTCTACTAAAAATATTATTTGATATTTTAAAACATTGCAAAATGAAATCTTATTCTACAGTCGACACATCCTATGTATAATTTCGTGACTGCATTTTACAAAATTAACAGTAGAGTTAAAAAACGATTTTCAAACAACATCTATTATTATTAAAAATTTAAATTATTTAATAAAGATTACATAAAATGATATTTAACTTCATAATTAAACATTTAAATAGCTAGATTATCTTGTGTTTGTTTGTAAAATTGGTAAAATTATACAATAACTTATTATGATATTGTATACTTATATCAACTGTACAGTGAAATACAATTTTTTCTATTTTACTAAAAATGCTACTGCATAATTTCTCAATTCATAGGTATATATATTATATACTAAGTATTCATTATAGTATGTAATATCATCATCAAACACTTTACATTTCAATTTTTAAAAGCAAATAAGTATAACTTTTAGAAGCACACTTACAGCCACATACTGCCAACCACTATTGACACGAACCAACAGCGCTTGTTCTTGTATAACATACGCCAAAGTTCCTAATGGCGTGTTCGCTCCAAGCTACAAAAAAGTTTATCAATTTCATAATAACTATACCTACTCATTTTATAGTTATACCTCTCCTTGTCCAAGACGGGTTTTTACGTGTAGTAACGCTGATTGTGTTAGCGACGACCACATATGTTCAAAGCTATAAATATAAAAAAAAAAATAACATTTTGCTCTGTGACAACTTCATCTGTAATGTCATTACGTTTTTTGTGTGTAGCGGTGTCACATGTATTTTGAGATTTTATCATTAGAAGTGAAATTTAAAACATTTAAATAGCGATAGTGATCTGCAATAAATTGTAACAACTAAAACAATCAATAAAATGAAGATAAAAATTAAAGTCAGTGTAACAAGATCAAATTTTTGGTTATACAAAACATCGAAATCAGGTAAAGTTTTGACTGTGTTTTGTCAGGTGTTTGAAAGGAATTGCTACTTTTCAAGGAATAAGGTAAGATAATTAAGTTACTAAAATTATAAAGCAAAGTTAATCAAATAGTGTTAAGGTAAATTTTATAACTATATTACTTTGAAACAACTGTTTCCTTCCGGTATCACGTCACTAAAAACTACAAACAAATATTCAATATAAAATACGGTTTCCGGTAGAAATTCGTTTTTCAAAGTTTTCGTCGGGATTATTACTTTTTTAATGTTTCCGGATAACCTTTTTTCTTCTTCTTAACATCCGTCCGCCATTTGGTCTTTCCTTTTCGAGAACCTTTCGAGTGTAGACTTAAAATGGGAAAAAGGAAAAGTGATGAAGAAAAGTTAAGAAAAATTAAAGCCAAAATCAGAAAATTAGAAAAAAAGTTACAAAAAGAAGCTACAAATAGCAGTTCATCAGAAGAGGTGGAGAATGAAGAACCACAGCAGCAGACCTCCACAATAATCAGTGAGGAGTTGGAACTTGTTGAACCTACTATAGAAAGAAATACCACAGGTTGGTTACCACACAACATTCTTGTCATATTCACCAATGTTTTATATTTTTTATTAGTTTATACATTTTAAATTAATTAAAATGACCTGTGTCCAAAAATGATTTTGTGGTTGCTAAAATCAAATTATCAAGTGCTATCACACTGCGGGTAGACAAGATAAATAAATTTACCAAATACTACTTGGGGTAAAATTCATATTACAGAATCTAAATATTAATTCAAAAAGTGATATCATACAACTTTTCATTAACTTTCTATTATTTAGTGCTATCATACTGCAGATTGCCAATTTTTTATAAACTTTACATCACTACGTGCTATCACACTGCGGATAGACACTATTTCATTGATTAAACACAAGCGCTATCACTCTGCGGATAGACACTATTCCCTTGATTAATTAAGCACTATCACATTGCAGATAGGCATTTATTTCTTAGAGAAACCCTAAAACCTTGTAAAATTTCCAGAAGAGGAACTGCCAGAAGAGTTCCTTCTAGCTCTGGGAAGTGAGGGCATACAACAAACGGAAACAGGAGATCCTATCAGAACAGAACTGGCACATCGCTGGGGAAATCTCATGCGAATAGGTCTTGGGAAGGAAGCGAAAGATGCTCTTTCAAAGAAATATCCAACACCTTCAAACTTTCCAGAAGCAACAGCACCGGCAATGAATCCAGAATTGCTGGCCACTATGTCGGAAGCAAGTGTTAATAGGGACAAACGTATAGTTTACAGACAGAATATGACAGGAAGGCTAATGTCCTCTTTAGGAAAATCACTTTCAGATCTTTTGAAAGGCAATATAAATAGTAAACAACTAATAGAAGAAATCAATGATGCAGCCAAGCTTGCAGCAGAAATTTTTTACCAAGATTCTGCCTCAAGGAAATTCTTTGCTCTGTCGGGCACAACCAAAACAGTAAGGGACACTGTTCGAAATTTAAAATCTGACGAGTATTTATTTGGTAAAGATTGTGCGGAAAAAATTAAGGCTTCACAATCAATTCAAAAAACCAGCACACAAATAAAACATCCCAGCCAACCAAAGACTACTATAAATAAGAAACAGGGAAACTGGAGAAGCCCACTGCAACCACAACTTCAACGGCAGAAACCTCGCAGTGGGCCCCAGAGACAGTCGTACAGGCATCTACCTCCAGTGAACCAGCAACTACGACAGAACCCAAGACAGCAACTTCCACATCATGCACAAGCAACCCGAGGCAGAACCAAGTATCGCCGTTGAAAGATCAGGTACTTGCTTGTAGAATTAGACTATTTTATAATAACTGGCTAGCTATCACTAATGATCCAATTATTTTAAATTGGGTACACGGTTATGAAATTCCATTTACTGATGATATTCCTTGTTTTGACTGCCATCCTCAAGTCTGGTCCAAGGACCAATTGAGAATCATAGATTTTGAAGTTAAGAACCTAATAAAATTAGGAGCCATTGAAGAATGTTCCTATAGACCAGATCAATGTACTTCTCCAATCTTTCTAATTTCAAAACAAAATGGAACCTATAGATTCATATTAAACCTGAAAAAGCTAAATAGTTTTGTCAAAATTGAACATTTTAAATTAGAAGACATCAGAACAGCTTGTAAATTAATGTCACGCCATTGCTATATGTCAACCCTAGACTTAAAAGAATCATACCTTTCTGTACCCATTGCAAAGGAATATAAGAAGTTTTTAAGATTTACATTTAATGGTAAATTATATCAATTTAATGCACTGCCATATGGATTAAGCACAGCACCTTTTGTGTTCACAAAACTCCTTAAACCAATCATAACTTACTTAAGAAATAAAGATATTGTTTTATCATATTATTTGGATGACATTATATTTTTCAATAATTCTGTAACAGGATGTAAAGAGAATATACAACAGGCATATAATTTATTACAAGATTTAGGATTTCAAATAAATTGGGAAAAAAGTGTCCTTAAACCAAATAAAACCTGCAAATATCTAGGGTTTATATTAAATTCATCAAATCTTTCAATATCAGTCCCACATGACAAGCAAATATCTATAACCGAAAAAATTTATAATTTTAAGGATAAAAGACACTGTAAAATCAGAGATTTTTCTAGACTGATAGGTTACCTAAATTCTATTTGTATCGCAATACCATATGGGTGGCTTTATACAAAGCTGTTAGAAAGAGAAAAATACTTAGCTCTATTAGCATCAAAAGAAAATTATGATTCAATAATGGATTTACCATATCATCTAGGTCCTGAGTTTGAATGGTGGATCAAAAATATAAATAACTTTAATATAATTAAAAATTCCAAATATAAATTAGAAATCCATACGGATGCAAGTAAAACTGGTTGGGGTGCAGTTTGTGGTTCAGACAGAACCTCAGGATCTTGGTCAGCTGAGGAAAAAAATTATCATATAAATTTTTTAGAATTAAAGGCAATCTTTCTAGCAATTCAGTGTTTTGCTAAAGACATGTTTAACTGTCAAATATTATTGAGAGCAGATAATACCACTGCTTTAGCATACATAAATAAAATGGGAGGGATTCAATTTCCTCACCTTAATGATATGGCACGTAAAATATGGCAATGGTGTGAAAAGAGAAATATTTATTTGTTTTGTTCCTATATTAATACCAAAGATAATTATGAGGCAGATAAAGAATCGAGACGTATAAATATTGAATGGGAACTGTGTCCTAAAACCTATAAAATAATTATTGATAAGTTTGGTACCCCTGAAGTCGATTTATTTGCATCTAGGATAAATAATAAATGCACAAAATTTATTTCATGGAAAAGAGACCCGAAAGCCTTTGCAGTTGATGCTTTCACTGTGAGTTGGAGTGATATTTTCTTTTATGCCTTTCCCCCCTTTGCATTAATATTGAAATGTTTACACAAAATCAAAATGGATAAAGCAATGGGTATCTTAGTTTATCCATACTGGCCCTCTCAACCTTGGTTTCCCTTATTAAAATCATTATTAATATCTGAACCTATCATATTTGAACCTCACAAAAATCTTATTGTGTCCCCTTTCAGAATGGTTCATCCCCTTCACAAACAACTTTCCCTGGCGGCAGGGCTGTTATCAGCGAGGCATACTTAAGAAGAAATATCCCTAAATCTGCTTTAGATATAATGTTGAAATCTCTTGCGAACAACACAATTAAACAATATCATAGTTCCTTGAAGGTATGGTGGGAGTTTTGTAATTGTAATAATATTAATCCGTATGAGGGTTCTATCTCCCACGTATTAAATTTCCTAAGTGATTATTTTAAATCTGGAGCCTCATATGGTACTTTAAACTCAACAAGATCAGCCTTATCTTTAATATTAGGACCCACAGTAGGATCTGATGACAGAGTAAAACGATTTATGAAGGGGATTTTTCGCTTGAAACCACCCACACCCAAGTACAATGTAACCTGGGATCCGGGCGTTGTTTTAAACTATCTTAGCAACTTTTATCCAAATGAAAATTTACCATTAGAATATTTATCTAAAAAATTAGTCACATTACTCGCCTTAACAACAGCACACAGAGTTCAGACTCTCTCTCTTATTAAAGTAGCAAATATTCAATTTATGAATTCGGGGGTTCAAATTTATATTTCAGATCTTATTAAAACTTCTAGCAGAGGGAATTTACAACCTGTGCTTCATCTCAAGTCCTATGACATAAAACTTGAAATTTGTCCCGTTACAACTTTAAGATCTTATTTAGCTAAGACAGAACCCTTAAGAGATAAAAGTGAAAATTTATTTATTTCTTTTAAAAAACCTCATCTTAATGTTACATCACAGACAATAAGTCGTTGGATAAAATCAACATTGGAAGAAGCTGGCATAGATACAAATATTTTTTCTGCTCACAGTACTAGGCACGCTTCAACATCTGCCGCTAATCGATCGGGCATGAATATAGACCTTATACGTTCGACTGCAGGGTGGTCAAATAACTCAGTTATGTTTGCAAAACATTATAATAGACCTGTGATAGTTGAGGGACCAACAAATTATAGTGTTATGATCTGTGACACAGCTAATATTAATGTTTCTTAAATTTGTTTCTAATTCTGTATAATTTTTTTTAATTAGGTATAAGTTATTCAAGTTTTTATAATATCTAATAAGAAGTTGATTAATGATTATTATTTTAATTATATATCAAAATATAAGTCAAAAGACTTTAAAATATAACATTATTTTATGTAGTTAATATTCATGTTATTTCTTAAAAATGTGTGACTATAATAAAACTCATTTATTACATTTTTTCTTTTTATTATAAGTAGTATTCACAACCTATACTTTAAACATCTACACGTAAAAACCCGTCTTGGACAAGGAGAGGTATAATTATGTGATTAAACGAACTTACCTTAAGTGAAGTTCTATCACAATTATACCAGGCTCCTTGTCCAAGACGGGACTCCCACCCATCCCACAGAGATATGTACAGTATCTCTCATCCCTTATTTTCAGAGTTGTTCATACTACCTCCTACGCTTTAAACATAATGACATTACAGATGAAGTTGTCACAGAGCAAAATGTTATTTTTTTTTTTATATTTATAGCTTTGAACATATGTGGTCGTCGCTAACACAATCAGCGTTACTACACGTAAAAACCCGTCTTGGACAAGGAGCCTGGTATAATTGTGATAGAACTTCACTTAAGGTAAGTTCGTTTAATCACATAATTATTCAATAATTAAAGTTATTTCACAAAACTTCTTTAAAAACTTACTCTCATTAGCGAATCTGTTGTTTTGAATATAATAGTTCCAACTATAGCTCTGCCATCTTCGTCATCATCAAACTCTGGATTATCCGCTAATGGATCCAGAAAACCTATTACAACAAATGAAGTATGACTTTACAGAACAAATTTAAAATTCGCTTTTCTCAAAATGAAATCGGAATCTTAAAATAAAACTTCTCATTAGATTCTGAAATATCTAATTCAAAATAGCTAAGTGTGCTAATAAATTAATGATTAAATAAGGAATTTACAAAGAAAATTAGTTTGTTTACTTTAATATAAAAGTTTAGTATTTTTTTTTAACAATGCAAACTCGATATTACAATTATATTTCAAAGATCATCTTTCATATTATTCATAAATACGAGACAATATTTTGATCTTATTTTACTCCAGATTATAAAACCAATTTCAGTTATTGCTTCTTAGAAATCAGAATTCATAAAATTCAACTATTTCAATAGCTAACTTACCATAAGACTCTTGTCGAAAATTAACTAGATGATTCAAATTTCTCAGAATTTGTAAGGGATCACGTTGTTTCCCTGTTGAACAAAACAAACTTATCCATAAACTCCTATCGAATTCAACTAAAACTAAGCACGTGGAAAGAAAAATTACCGATTACGACTTCCTGTAAATTATTGTATTTTCACTTTTATCTTTACTTTTATTTAATTTGTGCGTTTTCATCATATTTACTTCAGATTAAACAAAATTAAAGAATGGGCACACAGTGATGTAATACTTATTAAGTTTCACGTTTTTTAATATCAACAAAAACAGAGTAAACTAACCCGTGCCTGGCTCTCGACGATTAATCCCTGGACTATCGGTAAACGTATCAGGTACTTCGTTCGGAAAGAATCCGGGAGGTCCCGGAGGGCCCGGTGGTCCCGGAGGTCCGGGTACCGGCACATGTTTTATATTCATTGCGGGAATTCCAGGTGGGCCAGGTGGTCCCCTCGGCCCTTCCTTTCCCGCTGCCCCTGGCGTACCGTCGTAGCCGCGATCTCCTTTATCTCCCTTTATCTTTAAGTGGAATTTAAATCGTGATTCACTTGTTTTATTGCTACATAAATAATGACACTTATTCGTTTGAAGAAAAGGTTTACCTATTTAGAATTACGATAATAAAATGTTGCAAAAACAAAAGGCAAGATAAAGAAAAACTAAATTTAGTAGATACACAATCTCACAAAATATAAAAAAATATCTTTTAAATTTGCTTTCTTCAAAGAATATTCTGTACGCGAGTTTATATTTTGTGTGTGTAAGTTACCTTTTCGAGATCATGTAAATTTAAACCAGGGTCTCCTTTTTCTCCCTTTTGACCTTGAGGTCCAGGTGACCCGGCCGCTCCAGGTGGTCCCTAAAAACAAACACATCATGATTAATGCGAATTTCAGAATTGCTGTCTGACTGGTATAAATATTGGTATTATAAACTCACAGTCCATCCCGGTAAACCTATGTCCCCAGAGATTCCATTTGTTCCTGGTGTGCCTGGAGGACCGGGTAAACCTGGAGGTCCTCTAGGACCAGGTGGACCAGGATGACCCCGTTTTCCTCTTGGTCCAGATTCACCTTTATCACCCTAAAACGAAAACTACATATTAGATTATATCATAAATATTATATGGGTGAAAAATTATCAAATTCCAATATCAAATTATAAACTAAACTTCTTAATAGTCCTTGTGACAAATCCATATATTCAACGTTACCTTAGTTAATATCAGGGCTTCTTCTCTAGATATGGCAACTGGCCCAGGTGGCCCCGCTTCACCTTTGTCCCCTTTTGGTCCCGATTGACCTGGTATTCCTTGAGTCCCAGGAAGCCCGGATGGACCAATATCTCCTCGTTCTCCAGGTTTACCATCATTACCAGGAAACCCTTGGGGACCTTCCATACCACGTAAACCTTTTTCACCCTACAAACAATATGACAATATTTTACTATTTATACCTATTTCACTTAAAAACATCAGCATCATCGTCAGCTTATTAATAATATCCCTACGGCATAGACCTTGCCTATGAATGGAAACCCATGGGACAATGGGTATGACCAGCCATGTGGGTCTAGTGCGGAGTACTCTAGATAGTAAATTTTGGTCACCCATCATATAACTGACTATAATTTAGGTAACTGATACTTAAATTATATTATTTATATAGAAGCGTCGAATAAGTTAAAGTTTTCAAATAATATACACTTTGAACATGCGTTAAATTTTTTACCGAGAATAAGATTCCGCGAACGGTTATTTTTTGTTTGATCTTTTATTATTTGAAGTTCTTACCTTATCTCCTTTTTCTCCTCTTTCCCCTTTTATTTTTAGTAAATCTCGGACTCCTGTGACATAATGAATAAGACCATGATTATTTTTTGTAGTTTTTTATGATTTAATGTCGTCCATTTATTTGCTTTATATAGTATAAATAAAATGAATTTTTTTAGTATTCAAAAATGTATAACTTGAGAGTAACTGGGCTAATTTAATTGTTAGCCCGAGAAATAATCTTATGAGAGAAAAAATATACAAATGAAAGGAAAATGATAAAAATAACACTTTAATTCCATATTAAAGTTTTATCTGGTTAGCTAGTTAATAAAAATGTTAAGTATAAGAACTTTTGCATTATTGAAAATAGTAGCCATTAAAACTATCGATATATATATATATATATATATATATATATATTATATATATATATATATATATATATATATATATATATATATATATATAATTTATACTTTATTGGTTAACGCTTGACTACGATACCGCCTGATGGTAAGTGGTGATGAAGCCTTGGGTGGTATAGCGTATTAACCTAGTAACAGCCTATTCTCTCTTGATATATTCCTTATTTAATTTTTTAAGATTTATCTTTCAAGAAATCCGTAAGTAATTTTAAAATTATCATGACTATAAGTCTGTTGATAGCGACATACATATTTCTATAGAATAATGGGTCATTCTTAATATATTTATTTATAAAAAAATAATCTTACCATTTTGTTGTATATCACTCGATACAGCTTTTTCTGATACTTTAATCGTTGGGGGTCCAGGTGGACCAGGAAGACCACGTGCTCCTTCGAAAATATGAAATAATTAGACACATAACTATGTATCTCAGTTTGATTCAGTTCAAATTATATGTAAGTAACTACATTAATCAGTTTAATAATTATGTGTAAAAATAATTAACTATGCATGAATACATGCGCATATAAGAGAGAATATAGAGCTTCTATATTAGTAAAAAATTAAGATAGAAAGATGAATATTTGATTATATCTTAATTTCCCATTAGATTAGACAGATTTTCGATTTCAATTACTTAAAACCACTTCAACACTTTAATACTAGGAGATATTTTTGCATTAAAAATACCGGTTGCATATGTGTTTCCTTAAAATAATTAAAATATAACACAAAAAAAGAAAAAGTATTTATAAAATCTAGCTACTACACATGAAAAATTGTACATTTTCTAATGCGAAGAAATAAAGATTTTCCAAATCGTTACTATGAAGCCCTAAAATCTTGTGAACGCGTTTCCCGCGTATAAATAAGGGTCATAGTGAAACATAAAATTTTATGGTTCAGTTAGTTTGTTACCTTTTTCACCCTTTTCGGCAGGCCGGCCGTGGGCGCCCGGGAGCCCAGGCGTACCATCGCGGCCGGCCTGTCCCCTTTCCCCTTTTGCGCCATGTGGGCCTCTTAAACCCATGTACCCCTGAAACAACTTATAATGTTAGGGCCGAAGGTAACGTAACACTGCGTTACGAGGGTCAACACCGGCGCTTATTGCATTGGCCCTCGTTTATTATCCGTGCGTCTACCAAATTAGTGACGGTCTGCAAGATTTCACTTTGATTTTGTTAGTTTTCCCAGAAATTCCCTTTGCCGGTTATGTCAACTGACTTATTTGTTTTTCTTATCTTTTTCTTGTAATGTAATTTACTTAAACAATCTTGGGTTTGTGCGAAAATCTTATTAGTGGTATCCTTTTATCTATCGATTTATGAATTATGGATTTAAGTATCGACGAAAAATTTAAATGTAATTTAACTATTATGAACTGCTATTCAAAATATTTTCAACTTCACATTAGCGGGTTCTATAACAATGTAGTAAAAAAAATATGTGTTTACATAATTACTGTAATTAACATTACAACTTACTCTTTCTCCTTTATCACCCTTAGGACCATGTAAACCCCTCTCTCCTTTGTTTCCAGGATATCCTCGTTCCCCTTGTGGACCAGGTAACCCCATTTGGCCTCTTTCACCTTGTGGTCCTGGAAGTACTGCATTTCCGGACCCGTACAAGACTGTTGATTCCTGGCAAAAAATATTTTATGAAAAAAGGAATTATAACAATATATATTGATAAAACAAGTTTTATTTACAAACCATTAAAGCAGACGACACTATGCCGGGTGGGCCAGGTGGTCCAGGTGGACCTTGTGGACCTTGAATTCCGTCTAGACCTGGTTCACCTTTTGGTCCTGGCTGGCCTTCAGGTCCAGATGGTCCTTGATCACCTCGCTCACCGCGATCTCCTTTAGGTCCCACTGGTCCGGGAGGACCTGGATCCCCCATTTGCCCCTATTTGCAAAAAAATATTCACATTCTTAACATAAATCAATTGCTCAATAAACTCAGTTCTGAAACTTATGCCAGTACGATGAACTATGTTCGTTTATCTGTTATTAAGATACTGTGTCTGGAAAAATAATAGTTATTAATATAGTTATTAGAGATAATTTCTAATAACAAAAAAATATAGTTATAACACACATCAAATAAGGTAATATCCGATCAATTTTCTATCTAATTTGTAAGCAAAGAGTATCTTACTGTAGAAAATATCTTCATGTATTCTTTTCAAAATGTGTAATAGTTTAGGGAGTACGAGCAAATTTCCCCAGGCGATATAGCTGGGAAAGACAACATTACATGTCAATATTGTTTTTATGATGATCCTACTTAAATAAAGCTGTCTGATAAGAATAGTTATTTAATATCGTAATAATAATGTATTAATCTAAATTCCGCACTAGGACTTGACTTTTGTGATTCGTTTGAACTGATTTTATATAGTTAACCTCTTTAGCAACTTTATGTATAATTTAAACGGATATTTGACCAAAAAGGACTATATAAACAGGTTCATTGATCTCTATTACGCTGATTCTTTAAGCACTTTTAAAACAATCCAAATCAAATAATAAATAATGTATCTAAAAAGTTCTTCAGTTATAATGTTTGTTGCTGCGATTAAACTTTTCAGAAATAATATTTGTAATTTAATCAACTTAGGAACGTGGTTGTTGAAATCCTAATGGTGAAAATAAATTATACAGAAAGTGAAGGGGAAAGATGACATCCTAAGGTGGGAGTTATTTATTTTATTTTACGATATTTAGTCGAATAAAAGTTGTATATGTTAAAACTATGGTTTTAATATCTGTATATGCTATATGTAGAAAGTATGTAAGCGCGATGCAAGCTGCACCTCAAAGTTTTGTGAAGTAACTAGTATTAATCGATTATTGTGGTGATGTAAATGCAATCAGAAAGATGTTGTTGATGTAGTCGTCACAATACGTGTTTTGAGTATTGTTATGCAGTTTCATTTTGGCATTTTGTAATATTGCATAAATGTTTGTTGATCACAAAGTACTTACAATATGCGGTGAGTAACGATAATTTCTTTTACTTACAGTTTTCCCCGGAGATCCTGTAGTACCATCAGCACCAGTTGGACCTTGAGGGCCAGGGAGTCCTCTCAGCTCCGGTGTAAGTTCTAGGATCTGCGAAATATCGCCTAAACTGCATCTGCAGTATCCTTGTGGAACCTATGACATATAAAATTGGTTAAAACTTGAAAAAAGCCATATGTCACCTATACTAATATTAATAAATAGGCACTGAAACTTCTGGACTGATTTCAAAATTTCTTTCACCTACAGGGCATTACATCAAGCACGGATGACATAATATACAATTTTCGCGAGTGTAATCATGGGAAAACAGCTAATCTTTGATATAACAAACATAAAAGTTATATTTAAAAGTATAAACAGTGAATGTAATATTTCAACTCTAGTCAAGATAAAAAATACATGTAAGTCACATTTTATATTTTAAATTGCTATGAATATATCAATCCCAAAAAAATATATTGCTGTTGGCTATAAGAGTATGTGCTCTTTGATCTTGACTTTTTAATTCGAGAAAATTATTATTCGCGCTTTTTTATATAATAAAGAGTTATAAATGAATAAAAGCTCTTTCTACAATTCTAAATGCTTTTATTTTAACAACTGCGCCGGAGCAACCGCGTGCTTAACCCATTTGAAACCAGTACAATATTCGTTTGCGAAGAAAAGACCATGCCAGGTAAAAAAGCTTTTTATTATATTTGAATATTATTTTTATAGTATTACAATCCAGATCTTATGATTAGCCTATCAAAGACCAATACTCTACCGCTATGCAGCATTCCTACATATGGATATATTCTCAGAGCAGCATATATTGACGACCACCTCACCGGACCGTGGATTGTGACGAAACGGTCTATTGACACGTATTATTCAGTTCAAGAAATATGTTTTTCCCTGGCACATTCCTATTACGCTGATTATATGATTCGTTGCATAGACTTGGCAAACGTTTTAACGTAGAATATAATTTAAGATTTCTACTGTAACCTAAGTCCTTGTTAAGGACTTATTTAAATTCTAACTTTGTCGATTATACTATAAAGCCCTGGCACAAAAGCCTTAGCTGAAATCTAATTCTACAGAGTGAGCCTCCCAATCTCGTAGTCTTTTGTTGGAGCCTCCTTTGTTATGGCAAATGTATAATAATGATACGAGAGACGCAGTTGAAGCTATTAAGCGTGCAGTATATCAAGATTATTGATGATATGTAGACTCATTTTATAGCAGATAAATAAATTAGTTCTGACGACAATTAACAAGGTATTAAATGCTTTTTTTAATAAGAAAATTTATATATATTTACGCTCATATCTTCAAAACAAAGAAATGAATCAGTTCTCGTGACATTTAGCAAGATATATGCTTTTTTAAGTTTTTTGATAATGTGTGGTCTTATTTTACCAAAACAGGGTAATAATTCGGTTCTAATAATAAAAAACACGTTAGATGATGTATCGTTTCATGAAAGCAAAGAAATAAAAATTTTTTTTAAAGCTTTTAACTAAATAGTAATAGTGATGCTTGTTTGAACCCTTAGTATCATAGAGCATCGATGAAATAAATCCTTTATTGCTTTTTGAAGTAGATATTATTTAATGAAATCTCAATGCTATCGAGTGCGAGGGTGTTTTTTAATAGAATAGTATTGCTTGTTTTATTTACTTAAAATATGTAATCGATATTTGTTAAAAATAAAGGTTGGATACCAATACGTGGATACCTGTTATAGAAAACTATGATCTTATTCCTTATGAAAAATATATATGTATTATAGAATTTAAAGTATTTATGTATTTCATTTATTCATTAAATATAGGTAGAGATATGATATCATGATAAAGTTTGAGACACCATAAGCTACCCTAAATCTAATCTAAAGTAGATATAATTTTCGTTCAGTTCACAAGGTTGCCTGGAAGAAATTACTTTTTAGTAATAAGGCCGCCAATTGTGCATTCACATTTATTGTATGCTTATATTTGTTTCTGTCCATTGGTGTACAATAAATAATTTTTCATTCATTCATTCATTTCATTCATTCATTCATTTCATTCATTCATTCATTCATTCATTCATCCATTTATTCAAAAATGATTAAAAATCCACTTTGTCCCTGACACTCTGAAATGGGACTCGAACACATGACCTTTCGCATTCCAAGCGACTTCTCTATCCACCACCTAACGCGAGCTAACCAGGACCAAACAGGACTGACGTTATTTGGGACATAACTCATTAGGATAGCATTTTGAATGCAAATTTGATTAAATATAATAACTATGATCTTATTTTCGTGTATTATTATATTATTTAAATTTTTTCTTTTATAAAAAGTTTTATTATTTTTATTAATAAAATACATATAAGTCTTCCAGCTTTTTGCAACATTGTTTATATCCACTTAACTACAATAATAATTCATACACCTTATAACATTTTAAGGCTTCCGTACCTAAAGGGTAATACGGGAATCCTATTACGAAAACTTCGCTGTTTACCTGTTTGTCACCTGTATTTCATGATACCATGAAAGTTAGACAATTGAAATTTTCACAGATGATGTAATTTTATTGGTACATCAACAAAAAATACTAAAATTAACTTGAATAAAATTAATATTTTAAGGGGCTCCCATACAATAAACGTAATTTTTGCTCTTTTTCAATACGGAACCCTTCGTGCGCGAGTCAGACTGGCACTTGACCGATTATACGAGTATAATAAAACTTTTAACTACAAAAACGAATCCAACAATATATGTCATTAATACTGTCATTATTAAAAGCTAACTATGTCTAATGGTAATAATAACACATTGATGATACTTCTAAACTGTATCTCGCAGCTATTGTTAGAAAATGCTTTGTTATAAGTAACACAATAGTGACACAGCCATCATATGTCCCCGGTCAAGGTTTACATGTTTCACAAAGGCATGCCCTAGAAACATAGGATAGTAATAAAAAAATCTAGATCCATAGGTGTATTTAGAATTCGGTTTGGTTTAAAACTATGTTAAATATTGATTTCTTATATTTTTACCCGCACTATCCACAATGAAACATCATCATATATTAACGTCTATTTAATTGTTAGGTACATATAATAAGTAACACCTGTAAAGTACTAAATTAATATCCTTTGCGTAAAGAAAATATTTTTTTTTGTGATATGAAAAATATAATAATAGCAATCTAAAGGATTAATCATCTGAGACATTTGGGTGGACTCTTACTTCCTTAATATATTTTTTTTATTTAGAGACAATCTCACTAAATTAAAAATATATCAATGCCTGGTTAATTGGGAGGACCTGCTCTGCGATTCTGTAAATATCCAAACCCTAATTCGAATTCACTTAGGTAACCGAATTCACTTTAAAAACTGTCATCTGCACAACCTTATATTGGTAACTGGCGTTAAGATTTTAGTATGGAATCCGGTACAGCGCCCCTAGCGGTAACTACCAAGAATTACAAATCTCCATACAAATTTTTAACGCGCTCACGAGCAAACGCGTTAGAGTAAAACTTACACTTACCACTCTGAATGTAACGATGTTTCAATTACATAAGTTATAAAGTCTACGCACCTTTTATTTAAGTTCTTACATGATGGGGCCCGTGACAGTAAACATAACGACCCATAGTCGTTGTATATATATATATATATATATATATATATATGTGTGTATTAACTAATAACAGTTTTCCAGCAAATTCACTCACGTATATTATAGCCGAAATACATATGTGTGACATAGCTTCCCGTATGTGAAGGAGTTTTCATAATCTGATCAGTATTTCAAAAGATTACCCCCTACAAACAAATTTAATATAAATTCAACTATCTTATTGAGCATAGTCTCAGAAATTTGAAAATACAAAAGCATAGAATATTACAATAGACACTAAAATATTTATCAATTTTTAATATAAATAAATTTCAAGTGGTAAATAAAACCGGTGAAATTCATTGAAAACTTTTTATTACGTTTTGTTTAAATTTTTCATTTAAAATACCATGTGATTAGGATTTGTTTCGTTGTAATTGTAACTAATAGTCTATTAAGAAATATTTCATTTTTCTTTTTTTTTTGCATCTATAACTATTGGACTCATACGCTGACTTGACTATAATTTACGTGATCGAAGTCGCGGGATAACAGCTAGTAAAAAAATACACATTATAACAGACAAAATGACATACATTGTTCACATTCGTATTCTAGCTGATATAAATTATACCTAGTAGGTGATTTCTAATACTTAAATGAAAATAAGATATTAAGAATTGTTCTCATAGCAACACGCAATCCAGTAATTCTAATGTTCCAAATTTGCCTTCATTACCAAGAAAACTATTTTTGTGTTACATATTTTATTTGAAACTTATTTTATTACCGAAATTTTAAAATAGTAGCCTATTTTCTCATAGCGTACATAATGTATTTCTTTTTTCTTAAAAGAAAAACAGTTTCAAATCATACGACTGACGCATAAATAAGACTCAATGTCGCCGTATTAATATTGTTTTCTGTTGTTAACAGGAACTATCTCCTTATTACACTCTATCCTTTGTGTACTTTATATAACTTCTAGGAAAATCTCCATTCAATACCTTGGTAACGTAATATCTAAGACCCAGTTTTCATTATTGGAAATTTTATTATGTTCCATTATTATTGTTATATTATCTAGTGTAAAGGTGTTTCAAATTTTACCTATATAATGATCAGGGTTTTGTTTTGATAAATAGACAAGATGTTTATTATTCTTCTAGGTATAGGTGAAGTGAAAATCAATAAAAAGTTCTTATAACTATGGCTAGTCACAATCAAAGATTTATACGACCGTTCCCCTGACTCCTAGTTATAACTCAATGTTAATCACTACAAAACTTGCACATGTCATTACTTGATGAAAAAGACTCAGGCAAAGACATAAAATTTGATTTAATAAAAATATAATCTATGTATATCTATAAAAAGGACAAATTTGAGAATTTAGCCCACAAAATAATTTAATTCTCTACGAAATAAACGGGTAAATATCTTTTTAAGATCAGCCTTGCGATACTGTAAAAATTCAAATAAGTAAGTAAATAATTGAATTCGAATTCGGGTTAGAATTTTTACAGAATCGCAGAGTTGAAGTGGCTCCTCAATCCATACAGACATTGTACGAAATAGTTTAGCATTATAACAGTTTCTTCCTCCATATTCTTTAAGAAAGAACCGGGATGATAGTATATCAATTCTCCGGTATCTGTGTGTACTAAGCGGCATTCCCTGCAATTATTTATGAAACTTTCAATGTCTCTATCAATATTTATCCAAAAAACATAGCGTCTAGCGAGTAGTTTCATTTTAAGAAGTTACATATATGTCCAACATATATTTCTCGTAAATTTTTTCTTCGTTAATGATATTTGTATCGTTACTCTTGTGCCTTTGAAAATATATTTGCCCTCTAATGTAAATTCATTGTTGTTATATCTTAAAGTCCTTAAGTCATCGCCATTGTTATCGTTTATTATCGTTTTACAAACCGGGTCTTCTTCTGTTTCGGTTTACATATCTTCATAATTAATATAGTAGAACAATCCTTCTTTGAACTTTTCATTATAGAAGTTAATGAAGTCAATCAGTGTTATTTGAGGTCATTGTTGTCTTGCAGAATTCGTGCATGAATTTCGATGTCTCTTAATCCTTGTATAAATTATAAGCTTAAGAAATTTTCCGCTATAGATTTCTTACAGTGGCCGCAGAAGAAATCACAATCTTAAGACAAATGTTTTAATTTAGGATGAAAATTATGGTATAGTCTCATCTGTTCATTGTGTTCTAGTGATAAATTTATGTCGGCTTGCTTGCTCGTTCAATATATTCACTCAAGTATTAAATGAGTGTTTCGATCCCTACTTTTTGAGGAGTGTATAAATCGTAATCCTTGTCATGCAAGTCTAGTGACAAACTTAATAAGAATTTATAAAGTGGGTTCGTTGCAGTTAATTAGTTTTGTAAACATTTCGAAGAGAAACGAAATACTTTTAATAATTTATATAATTATTAAAAGTTTTTGTTATAATTATTATGCTAGAAAGTTGATTTTAGGTAAATGCATGTTAATGTGACATCAAGTGTATACATTTACTCTTTGGCTATAACGGATGTGTTAAGGGATAACATCAATTTAGTAACATTGTAATAAAGGAGTTTATGTATTAAAATTAAGATATGAACAATAACATTTGTTGAATCTTCGGACTTCGTATGGACAATGACGACTTGGGTGCTCGTGTAAATACAAGACCACGTATATTTTATTTTTATTTATTTAACACTTCATGTACATAATACATTGGCGGGCTTAATGCCTTAGGCATTTTCTACCAGTCAACCAGATGGGTGATATGGAGATAAAAGGTGGTAGTGTGCACATTGTACAGGAGATATAAATAAAGGAAATAAGACCTATAACAAAATACATAAACTTACATATACAATACATATATACTTTCATAACTACATATACTAATATAATATATAATGTATATATATATATAATATAATGTAGACGACTAACGGTGTAACGAATTAGCCTGTTCCAATAGAAAGCTACGCAGCTTGTTTTTAAATGTAACTTTGCCGGTGGACATTCTGATGTCCAACGGAAGTACATTCCACAACAGAATCGATTTAACAAAAAACGAAGAATGAATGGTATCGGAGTGATGCGATGGACACATGAGCCGCAGATTTGAGGAGGAGCGAAGGTTTTTGGTATGAGTGGTACATATGTACCGAAATTGCGACGTGAGATAAGACGGAGCATTCGAAGAGTTCAGTAAGGAAAACAGAGTAGTAAGAGCTCGCATACTTCTACGCTGTCGAATGGTCATCCATTTTTGCTTTGTTTTTTGTTTTTTTACCTCAAAATATATATCTTTGTTATTATTACGTTTAAAGGCCATTAACGTGACATTGACGGACTAATGTAAACGAAAATAAGCCATAAATTAAAAAAAATATATTAAAGAAAAACATAAGCATGCAAAATCATAGACAAAAATTGCCTATCGAAGCAAGTGCTTAGTAAAGCATTACCTAACGTTACAGATTTGGTAAAATGACAAATCTGCTTTTTTTTTAGTTATTGTAAGAAAACCAACGGCTTTTACAAAATTAGAATCACCACCATCACCAGCCCTTTTACGTCCCCACTGCAGGAGCTCAGGCCTGCCTTATGGATGGATAAGGAGGATGGGCCATGACCCTCCACGCTGGCCCAATGCGGATTGGAGGGTATTAACGACTGCAAATGCAGCCGGGACCAACGGCTTAACGTGCCTTCCTAAGCACGGAGTAGCTCGAGATAATTATTTTTTGGTCATCCATCCCGTGACCGACCCTTGCGAAAGTTGCTTAACGACAACGATCGCGGGTCGCGGCGTTTATCTACAACGCCACCGAGCTACTCGGATAGCCACCGAGCTAGAATAAGAATAGTTAAGACTTAATATTAACAAAGAGTAAAGCCAATTACAGGTTTTCCTTAATCAGCCAATTGTATGTTCTTAAAACAGCCGGACTGGGATTATTCTTTATAATTTAAAATCAACATAACATTGACACTCGTACACACACACACTCATCATACATATTCTTACACATCTAAGTTCGTGAGCTCCTCGAACAGTTTCTTTTATATATCATAGGGTAATAATATAAACTTCTACACCATCACTGGGCAGCACCGCAGCGCCATAATAATAATCGAAATAATTATGAAACCTGTAGGTAAACATTAGTAAAATATTCCCTACACACTCCACCACCTGGACATATATATATCATTAATATACAATATCATTATGCTATTCTTAATATTAAGTAATTTTTTGTTAAGCTCTGCCTTGTTCTAGGTTAATGGATAGAAATAAGTAACATTAGGACCCTCTTGTTTATCTCAAAGTAATAATAATAAATATCTTTATTTCTCCTCACAAATTCACACTATGGGTACATATATTTTTTTGTTGATTATTTTACACGTTAATTTGTGGGAGACTGGTGTCTATAGTAGGCTTAGCCTGAAATAATAAATCACCAGGTTCCCACCCCGCGATCGATCGAAGTATCTTATTACTATCTATATAATTATGTGTAATTATACAAAATCCCTGCAAAAGCTAAAATCTTGCTATTCTGTTAAAAATATAATGTCGAGTGCAACGTTGACCCAAGCGCAGTCACCGCATTAGAGATTTTGATATTTTGAAGTTAGTTTTATTCAACGCTCTGTTTTTATAGCACTGCAGTATCAATCAAAATCCAATTCGATAATTCACCCGATTGTTTTTCCAGTAATTTTGTTCAATCAAGCAGCCACAACCACAAATTACTTGGAAAAAAATAGCCTCCGCCAAGTTACGAAATTACAATGAATCCACTAGTCTATTTATGGTAGTTATAGCATGGCAACATTCTATACTGTGATTTCACAGGTACATTTTCACTGTTTATTACCCTAACCTTATTCTGGAGCTAGTATTTGAATAAATACTCCTATGATGTAAACAGTTTTTTAATTAATACGAAAAATATATATTGTGAACGGTCAATCATATTACATTTTTAGGTTTCCCTACACAAAGGGTAAAAAACGAAAACTTATTACTAAGACTAGATTATCCAATCCATCTATTGCGAGGCATTATCCATGAGATACTGCTCATGAGCTGCGATAGTTATTGTCCTATAACAATAACAAAGACGATATAAAAAATTGAGAAAGTGTTTTTTTTTAACTTTACTTATTTAAATTTACTTTTTAAAAGCGCTCGGGTCTAAATAACAAGCGTTCCTTTACACAGTGTTTATTATTACTTGTACGTGTCCTTAATTCAAATTTATAATATGGGTAGTGTGTTTTACTTTAACTTCTCATAATAACTTAAAGCTAGGATTATGTTAAAATATGTAAAGTGAGGATGTTTCCATAATTATAGAGATACGAGGTTA